GCTCTCCCAGAACTGGTGGTGGAGCCGGTGAGCCCTCCTCCCTTCTCTTTGAAGTGGTCGGGAAACCGTAGCCATCCCTGCCCCCCAGGCTGGGGCACCCACAGCAGCTCCTCTGTGAGTGTTTCCAGTCTGGCCAGTCTCTCCCAGCATCCCGTGGCTATGCAGCGGGCTCGGATGGGCTGGTGAGGATGGCACGCTGTGCTAGCCCCACACCATCACGCACTGCAGAGCAAGGTCTTTCAGCATGGTCAAGCAGTCTGGGCCCAACCTGTGTCTGTTTTTTTTTTTTTTTTCCAATTCCCAAGGGATTAAGGGCAAGCTTTGCTGTTAGGAAAGCTGTTATGAGGGAGCCTTTGCTTGGGCTTCGTGGTAGCAGGGCTTGTGTCTGCATCCAGAGCTGCTTTCATACCAATGCAAGAAGGTCGTTGCCTTTAGATGCGACTTACATGTCCATCCCACCACCAAGCCCAGTCACCTCCCAATGGTTTATTGGCAAAAAGCGCAGATGGCGCCATGTAGGGGAACATTATGATGACCATCGTCTCCTGGGTGCTTGCAGGATGGGAAGGGACTGGGGTGGGGGGTATCCCCAGAGTGTTTAATTTGTCTCCAGCCCTGGAGACACACAAAATTGCAAAACCACCACACTGGTGGTTTTGGAGCTACCACCACCGCACCTGCGTGCTGGGGGACCAGTGGCCCTGGCAAGGAGTCTGAATTTCTGCGTTTCGGCTCCCTCAGCACTTCTGTGGGATGTTTGGGTATTTACAGGCTGGGACCGTGAGAGCTGGATGGTGTTATCTTCAAAAGATAGGCTGGCATGAACCTGGGCATGGGGAGGGTTTAGGCATTTTTCCCTGTTTTTGGAGCAAGACCTGGAGTGCTGCGGCCAAGGTGTCCAAAGCAGGCAGAGATGAGTGAGAGATGGCTGAGGGACCTGTCCCTCCTTGGTCCTATTTTCAGCATGGGGGATGAAGCCCTTTCCTTGCTGGTCTGTCTCCCCAGTCCCCCACATCCTCCCAGTTCTGGGGGTGAGCGGGAGTGCTGTTCCCAGCGGCCATGGCCGTGGGTGTGGGGTGACGCACCCCTGGGAGCGGGCCACGCTTTCGCAACTGCGATCCCTGCCGGAGAGGATTCCCAAGGGGAGGTTGAATGACTCAGCCCCAGCGGCTCCTCTGGGGAGGTGCACCAGCCCCAGCCCTGGGAGACTGGGGTCCCCTCTGTGGGTGACACTGGGGTGTCCCATATACCCTTTGCTGTACAGCCAGGGACCTGATGCTGCTTAGTTTCTCTGGCAGGGATGCTACAGTGGCCTCTTTCTCCTTATGTTTGACTGTGCATTTGCCTTTGCCTTTTCATTCATGGTTGCTTTTGGTTTTTTGTTTGTGGTTTGGTTTTTTTTTTTATTTATTGCAGTGGTAACCAATGCTCTGAACTGCAATGACCTAAAGGGCAAGGAAAGCTTCGGTTCAGAAACACCGATTACTTTTTGGCCAAGAGGTGTTAAATGCAAAGCTGCGGGTGGGATTTCTAGAGGATGAACGTCTTCTTCAAATTCAGGAAAATGTGTTCGGGATTTTGCAGCTTGTTGCTAAAGGAGAAAGGAAAAATGTTCCTCAGTCTGAGCCAAGCAGAGCCTCCAGGCGCACAAGTCCGGGCAGGTCTGGTTGCGAACACCCTGACTCCAACTCAAGGTCCCGGTGCTGGTGTGAAGCTGCTGGATGCAGCTAATTAGCAGAGCCTGATTCACCAGCCCCGAGCCCCCGAGCGAAGTGGTGGTAACTTTTTCCCGGCGCAGTGCCAGGACCTCGCCCACTCCCAACGCCGTTTCCTAAACTGGTGTACAATTCACAAGGTGAAGGCGCGTTTTTTCGGCGGCACCGGCACGTCCTAAATTACGCCCTCTTTCTGGGTGACACCCACCAAAAGCAAACCTGAAGGTGCTTTAATAGCAGCTCGAGCTGATGGGAAACGTGGGAGCAGGGGAGAGGTTGTACTGAGCAGAGCAAAGGGACTCATCCAGGCTCTGTCTGCCATGTCCCAGCGCTGCAGGCACTGGGGGAGATGTCCTGGGCATCGCAGGTGGTGACAATCCCTCATCTGTTGGTGCCGGCCGGCTGGGGCCGGTTTGCAGGCAGAGCTGGCGGGCAGCCTGCTTAAACATTTTTTTGGCTGCCAGCATGGGCTGCAGTGACCTTGGGGAGATGTTAAGTGGAGTTGCAAAAAGGCTTCGGCTGGGTGGTAATTGTTCCTTTGGTGTCTCTCACGCTGCAAACCCTGGTTGTGGTGGCAGGTGAGGGTGGCTCGCCAGCGGCTAGGTGTCACGGCTGGGTGTCATAATGGGGGGGAGCCCTGAGTGTGGCTCCATCCCCATCAGGGCCATTTGCAGCAGGCTTTGAGCACAGGGTGCTTTCACCCTAGTGGACCTTCTCCGTCAGATCCTACTCTTCCAGCCTTTCCCCTCGCTATTAAAAAAAACCAAAAGGCTTTATAGCTTTATATAGCGAAATGCTTATGGTGCTTAAGCCTGTAAGATGTACTGATGTCTTCACTAGGGTTTACGCATACACCACTGTGCCTCGCCGGGCTGCTGCCAAACTCGGCATCGCCTGTCCCTGCATCCCACGCGCTCCGTGGCCCTGCCCAAATCCTCGCTGCCCCCGCGCCGCCTGCCTGCACCTGAACCCGCTCGGCATCGGACATCCTTCCGTGTCCCCCGGCGCATCCTCCCCCACGGCCAGGGACATGCCTGGCACACATCTTGGGGAGGAAGGGACCTGCCTCACCCCGGCTGCTGGCCCTGTCTGCTCCTTGGGGCCGGGATCTCGTGGTGTCTGCCTCACCCGAGTTATTTTGGAGCAGGCTGAAATTGCCAGGGATGGGCAACAACAACCCTGGCAGGTGCTGGCAGCAGGCAGCGTGACCGACGGCTGACGGGACGAGGTGGTAAGTGGCAATGATGGCATCGATTCATTGCCTCCCACGCCAGGATGTGATGGGGAACACAGGGACCCGATTCACCTCATCGCCCGCCTTGAGCAATCCCTGCCACGGTCCCTGGGGACACGCGAGCTCAGCTTGGAGTGGGGGGTATCAGCTCATGGGTGGGATCTGCATGCTTGATGCAGAGATGTGCCTCTAGCTTCGTCCAAGTGTGCCATCCATCTCATTTTCTTTGCCAGTACTAGATGCTGTTTAATTATTTCCTTTAATTTCCAGCCGAAGCTGCCTCGAGAAGGCCATCATTTGTGCAATTACATCTTCTCCATCTGTTACCAAGCATCAAAGCAATTGAGCCTTCTGGTTCTGGGAGGAGGGTGGGCTCGGAAAGATGAGGGTCAACACTTCATGGCAACCCAAGGATTGGCTTAAAATTGCAATGTGTTTGCTTGGAGCGGGAGCAACCACCCAGCTCCTCTTTGGTGAATCAATCCTGACCTCCCGGGGTGGGTGTTGCTGTGTGAATATCCCCATGAAAGCTCCTAATTCCCACCTATTTATTGTCACCTTTCTCCTAAGCACTGGCTTCACTTGCTGCCGCAGCTGGCATTTTCCAACGTGCCTGCCTGGGGTTAAGATCTTGAACCCATGTTTAAGCACCTTGGCAAACACAGTATGCGGCTTTGCACACCCTCTCTCTCAGCTTCTGCATGGAAAACATTCCATTTATAATTATTTGCAGCGTGGGACTTGGCATCTCAGCCTCCCTGGCTGGGAACCCCTGAGTGTTTCCCAAGGAGCTCTGTCACCAGTGTGGCTTAGGGCTAGGTCAAAAATGTGAAGATGATTGCCCTGTGCTTGTGGTTGAAGGTCCTTGGAGGTTATGGGTGGAGGGAGGTGCGGGAGCATCCCTGGTGGACACTGCAGCTATGCCCGGCTCCTGCAGCCTCCAGAATCCTCTCCCACTGCAGCCAGGAGTCAATAAAGCCGAACTACTCGGACACTGCCAATGCAGATGTCTGTTAGCAGCTAAATACCTGCCAATCTTCCCTCCCCGCAGTGCCACTGTTTCATAAAAAATTCCTTTTGCTCTCATAGTGCTAAGTTGTTTGGGTGTTTTTTTTTTTTTTTAGCATTGCAACCCTAAATTCACTGATGCAGTAAGTGGGGGATTAAGGGCATGCTCCTGGGCAAAGGTCTCCTGCAAACTCCTCGGGGCCAGCTGGCCACAGCCTCCGATCCCTGGGGTCACGCGCCCACCCTGAAACAAGGGTTGCTTGTTCGGCACCGCCAGCAGAGCTGGGCTTGGCGGAGGAGGCAGCCGGCCTGCCCGTGGCTGAGCGGAGCAGGAGCATCGCCTGCTTCCCTCCCTGCACCGGGAGGGTGTCATGAGGCTGTCCCAAGCAGTGCCGGCTTCGGTTGGGATGGTGTGGGGTTGCTGAAGAGCAATGGCCAGAATCAAGTGCGGCCCCCTTTGCACCCTTTCATTTCTTTTCCCGGAGTGGAAAAGTGTGAAACCCAGCAGGGCTCAAAGGGAGCATGTCTCACTGGGTGGCATGGTGGTGTGACCTGCTCCTTCCTTGCCCTGGCCCCCAAAACCTGAGATAGATATCAGAGAAGCATTCCACAATCAGCCCCAGCAACTAAACCCCCTTTGGGATGTAGCAGCAGCAGGACACCCCTGGGCACCAGCAACCCCTCGAAGGAGGGTCATTAAAATGCCACAGAAAGCCAAGACCTGAGGAACATCCCAAGCATTAATGAACTTATTACAGATGCCTCTAAGACAGAAACCAGTTTGCCCTTGCAGCAGTGGGTTAAGCTGCAGCGGTCCTTGCCGGAGGGTGTTTTTGATGCTCCCTCTTTGGAGCAGGGCCGTAAAGGGCAGTTTTGATGCTACACCTTTGAGCCATGGCCCAAAGCAGCTGCACTTAGCCCCATATGATGCAATCCTGTAAAGCCTGAGTTTCCTTCCTTTTTTCCCATTTTCGGCACTTTTCGCCCTGTCATCCTCTGCCGTGCTGACAGTGCTGGAGGAAGGCACGTGGTGGTTTCCCCCTGCCTCAGCAGCTCACGCTCTGCAAAGGCTCACACGGGCCTGTCGCCACCACCCTTGACTCAGCTAATTCCCCCTCAACCAAAGCGTTGACCGAGCTTTTGCTGGTGCTGTCCAAGCATTGGCAAAGGCCATGGGTCCAAGTGGTGGAGGATGTCTGGGACCACCACCACCGCTGAGTCCATGTCCCCACTGCCAGATGCCACCAAAGCAGGTGGCTGTGCACAGTGAGCGGGGCTGGACATGGGTGCTTGGATCCCCGCGCTGAGCCCAGTGGTATCTGACCTGCATAAAAGTGGGACGAACATCTGTACCTGCTCACCGGGCATGTTTTGAGCATCCTGTAATTAATGTTTGCTCAGTGATTGAGGGTGACGGGTGCTCAGCATTATTAGTGGATGATGAGTAGCTGATGTTGTTGATGTTGGTACCTCTAGACATCTAATTTCAGCATCTGGACTGAGTGAAAAGGCCAGGGGCCAGACTGCCAGTGCCAAAACCCCGTTGGGCTTTGTATCTTTAGAGACGATTTCCTCACAAAGCCCTGCGCGTGAGTAAGCCTGCCCTGCTCTGCCCTGAGAGTGCCGAGTTTGGCCCTGCGTGGTGGCCACGGTGGCAGGGACCAGGACCCATGCCAGTGGCCACGGTGGCAGGGACCCATGCCAGTGTCCCCTTGGCCCTGGACAGGACCCTGCCAGTGTCCCCTGGACAGGACCAGCAGCTCCCCTTGGCAGGGTGAGATTTGCAGAGCCCCCAAGGCCAGGGTAGCAGAAGGGCGCAGGTTTGGGGATGCCAGAAGCTTGGCAGTGGACTAATCCAAAGCCCACTGAAGGTTTCTTGCGTATTGAACGAACCAAATGTCTGTAAAAGAGCATGGAGTTATCTCAGGCCTCCTCCCATGCCACTGAAAATGGGTGTGAGGTACAAACGCTCACACAGGGATGCTTGTTTATTTATTTATTATGGGGGGGAGGGGGAACAAGGCATTGGTGAGAGCAACGCTTGTGAAGCTTTTTTTTTTTTTTAAAATTACTTTCCAATTACACTGAGATTAAAAAAACTAAGTCACCATCATCTTTATCTCTTCCGTCCATAATCCCGCTGCCACCAAGCAGGCACTGCCCTGAGCAGCCAGTTTGTATTTCATTACGACGTGGCTTTGGGGAGCTCCTGGGGTTTTTTGGGTGCCGTGTCCCCAGGTAGCACAGTGGCCTCTAGTGGCAACGGCTCATATCCAGCCCTGGGGAAAGAAACCAGCAAATGAATCTTGGGGGGCTGCTTAGCTCCTCAGGAAAATTAGGAGCAGAGTCCAAACAGCTGGAAGAGAGGCATCCCTGCCCAGCGGGTGGCTTGGTACTGGGCAGGGTCCTAAGCACACCATGGAACCCACCTGCCCTGACCAGCCACAGCTGGGATTCCCACCCGCACCCTCCACTCAGCCCTGGAGACCCATTTAAGGTCAGGCCCGGGCACCTAGTTCTGTCCTGGCTCCTGGAGTGCTGGTCTACGGGCCTGACCACTGTGCTGTCGGTAGCCCATCTCCAGTGCCCTCTCCTGGTAGGACATTGGAGCTACATGCCAGCTGTGCCTCCTGGATGGACTTCAGATCTGGGTTGCAGCCTTGTCCCTGGCCCATCTCCTGCAGCTCCAGGAGTTGAGCATCCTACACGTCTAGATCTCTGTGAGCAGCCTGCATGCCTGTTGAAAGGCAACTTGTGCTATAACCTCTTCCATAAAGGGGAGCAGCTTGGGCTTGCTTTCTTTAACCTGGTCACCTGTTTCTAAAAAGTTTGTAGGTCCTTTACAGCTTTGAAATCTTTCTCCCTCTGCTGAGTTTTGCTGGAGCTGCCTGAAGGACTTGCTAGCACATAAGCCTCCTCAGGAAATCAAGCTGAGCTTGTCTGGTGAGGCAGGGTCTTGAAGGCTTCCTTTGGGCAGAGGTCCTAGGAATAAATCTTGTAGACTGTGCGAGCACAGCCAAAGCCAGTATTTTTAGTGCTTGGTTTCATGCTTCCTTTAGCTCATATATGGGGCAATAGCTTCATTTATTTCTCTGCAGAAAAGTCCCCAGGTCCTGCTGGGTATGTAGGCAATAGTCCTCAGCATCACAGCAAAGGTGTCCTTCCTTTCTGGAACAGCTGTATTTTTTGGCTTTATCGTAAGACCTAAAGGACCTATCAGGAGCAGAAATGAGCACTGAGTCTTGCCTGGTAGTCTGTGCTCTCATGCAATGCTCTTGCCCCCTTTCCCTGAGGCTTGCTTGCTGCAGGTTAGGAATTCCTTCCCTCTCCACCAGAAGGTTTGCCTTCACCTGGCCTGGTGCTGCTGGGAGGGAGGTCTGCTGGCCTGCAGCCCATCAGCAGCAGGAAGGGACCCAGGCAGAGGGTACACCCACGTCTTGAGCCCCCTGGATGTTATGAAGGCCGTCGTCAAAGAAAATGTGGGGCTGGATCTGGGCGAGGATGGGGCCCTTGGGAGCTCCGTCCATGAAGAAAGCCTCGTCAATGGCCAGACCCCACTCCCGGAGCGTCTTGATGGCTCGGATGCCCATGTCCCGGCCACTGCGGGCAGTCACCAGGTAGGTGCGGATGGGAGACTTTTCCTGGCTGAACTTCTTGCGCATCTTCCCCAGGTGCATGGCAAAAGCCTTCAGGGGACCCTGAAAGCACAGCAAGACACTTGGGAGTGAGTGGGAAATAAGGAAACCTCATCTCTGCCTGTACAAGGCACTTGTTCCTCTTCCAGGGTTTCTCAGGGCTCTGCAGAGCATAGGGACACCTGTGTGGAGCAGGATTGGGCTGTGCTGGGACTGTTGCTGTGTACTGGGGTGCCTGGGAGGAAGGTAAGCATTGTGGTGCTCATCCTAATCCCAAAGTGACCAGGAAGGTACATCCCGGCAAGCGGTGCCTCTGGGTCTGAGTCCTGTGGGGACTTGCACAGCAAGAGGTCCCAGTCTACAAATCCACAACCCTGGGTATTTGGGAGCTGATGCTTACTTATAGGAGACATGGGGCCAGATCCATCTCCAGTGGGACTCCAGATCAGGCCCACGCCAGGGACTGAGTGGCGGATGCAAAGGGGTCCTGTAAGGATTTGTGCTTTTTTGGCTCCTCATGGCAAAGCCCTAGTGGGAGAGATGCTCATGGCGTGTGCAGAGCCTGTGGATACCCATCAAAGTGGGGTGGCTTGCTCACCTCTCCCATGGGCACGGCCTCCATCGCCCGCTCGTACTGCACTGCCCCCTCCAGCCCTTGGTCCCGGAAGACCTGGTCTGTCTCGTCGGAGAAGAGCACAGCGTCCCCATCAAACACCACACGGAGTGGGGTGCTGGGGGCCTGCACCTCCTGCTGGAAGACGAGCGCTGACGAGACCCCTGTGAGAGAGAGCAAGGTGGGGCTCAGGAGGGACACCCCCTCTTGGGGGCAGCTCATATATGGCCAGCTCCCCCCTGCACATCTGCCATGGCCCCATCCCACACCACAAATATTGGGGTCTCCAAGCCAGGGATCTTTCTGTGGCAGGGTTAACCCAGCCTTTCTACGGCTCTGTTACCCCCACAAGAGGATGGGGATGGACAAGAGAACACTGCTGATCAGACACTGATGTCTGGAGAGATTCTCGGTCTGCTAAGAGATGATGGGTGGTTGTGTAGGCATGAGCAGCCCTCCTCCTGGTGCTCACTCATCCTGCCAAGCCTGGCTTTAATGCCCAGATTTAGCACTCTGCACTGTGAGTAATAGGGACTGGCACCTCCACTTGATTGGGGTAATTGGCTTAATTACAGGTCTCTTCCTACAGGCTGCTCCCTGCCCGCCCTCATCCATGGACCGAGGCCCACAGATATGAGAGAGTTGTCAGAGCAATGATGCTCTTCAAGGAGGCTCAAGGAATGTGCTGTGTAGTGAAGGAAAGCCCAGGCTGCAGATGGCTTGCTCCTGACCTTGAAGGACCTTGGCCAGCTGATGTGCTCATACCCCAGCAAATTAATAAGGAGGCGATTAATCCCATTAGAGCTGTTGGGGCGACTGCACTCCCTCCAATCCAGGTCAAGCATGTGCTTACATCTGTCGCTGAGCTCATGGTAACTCTGCACTTATCAAGAACGCAATTTTCTGTAGCATCCTTACAAAACCCAGCGACACGCTCTCATTGATCCAGGGAGCAGCAACAGGCAGCATCTTTGGTTAGAAAGGTTTAAATGTCAGGCAGGGCATGACTAGCCCATGGCAGACCTATGGCCAGAATTATGCATAAAGCCCTCTGTGACTTGTGAAGGCATCTCAGAAACCCTGGTGTGTTTGCCAGCCACTGTTGGGGACAGAAGAAGAGACTGAACTTTTCAGGACTGTACTGGTAATCAATGTGCCATTCACCCCCTTGCTGCTGTGAAAGGACGGGCTCTGGCATTGCCTCTTAGTACTGAGCTGCTTGGGAAAAGTATGGTGGGTTTGGGGACATGGGATGGAGGGGAAAACACACCTCTCCGGAGGGCATTGCAGACATCTGTCCTGTCAGCCGAAAGGAAGAGCTTGACCCTGTGGGACTTCAGGTACTGCGTGGAGTCCTCATCGCTGACGAAGCAGAACTTTGAGATCTCCAGGCCTTTGGGTCAGGGAATGTGAGCAAAGTCTGTTATGGGGCAACATCCTCCTCACAGCCCCCCCCCGTCCCTCCCCGGGGTCTTGGCCTGCTTTGCTGCAGAGTTCAGGGGAATTCATTTCCTAGTGCTGTGTGGGGAATCCACCCACATTCTTGCCGCATCTTCTTGCACTGCTGCTCCTACAAAACTGTGAGTGCAGTTTAAATATTCCCTTCATCCCTCCCTTAAATGAGCCTTCCTGACAGTACTCTGGGATTTAGTGTTTCTTTTTTTTTTTTTTTTTTCTTTAAGAAATCTGTTTTTTAATAGCTGCCTGAGGATTCCTAGGCTGTGCAAAATGCTGCCAGACCCTATGGTGTAAAGGACATGGCTGGAGGGAGCTGGGCTCTGCCAAGGAGCTCGTACGCTGGGCGTGCTCCAGCACCCTGGGCAAGCTGCATGGGGCAGGCAGGAATTGAGCTTGTTTCCAAAATAAGCCCTTCCTTTTGTGTCCCCTGGCTCTGTATTTGCCACTGATGCTCCACTGTGGTGCCTTATCTGCTTTTCAGCCTCCCAGGTGGAAGCAGACACCCCTGGGGATGGGGTCCCCCTTACCATAGTGCTTCGCGCTGTTGATGATGCGCATGCCGCTCTCTGGGCTGTTGTTGGAGAGCACCAGGATGTCGAAGAGGTCTTTCTCTGCTGGATTGCTCTCCAGGATCTTCTTGTTCACATACTGCGCTGCCTGTGAGCAGGAGATGAGACTGTTTTGGAAGGGCATGACTGCAATGGCTTTGCTGGGACTCTTTTGCAGTTAAGGTTAGTGGTTTGTGCTGCATCTGTCAGCTATGGCAAAGCTAGCATGTTATGGAGAGCCAGGCAGAGCAACCATACTGCAAAAGCCATCACCAGGAGGGCAGGGAGCAGGATACCCACCGGGGGGAAGGTGGACATGTGGGACTGGTGAGGAATACAGGTCTTGATGCCCTGCAACGAGGCCAAGAGGCCAGGACAGGCATATCTGCACCCCATGATGGGACTTGAGACCTAAAGCTGGGAAAACTGAGCTTTCAGCCCATCCTGTAAGTGTCTGCATGTGCCCCTGGCCAGGTGTGGGGCTCACCTGGATGAAGGCGAAGGCTGTGCCTGGTGGCAGGGGCTTGTCCTGGTTGGCCTGCTGGTGCCTTGTGTACTCCTCCTTACCCTTCTCCAGGTAGAGCTTGTGCTCCTCCTCCAGGTTGAAGATGGCTCTGGTGGTCACCGCAATGACCAGTGCCTCACTGGGGTCTTTCTGAAGGGCAGGGAGGAAAGAGGTGTTAGGGGACAGCAAAGGAGCTTGGGGAGGTGGGGTGAGCAGGGGGACACAGAGCTGCCCTGACCAGGGTGGTGAGGTTGGGTGTTGGAGGCATTGTGCATGCGTCATGGTTCCTGATGTCAGAGGGCCTTTGGAGAAGAGGTACCAAGCCCAATCTCCTTTTTCAGGCCACCAAGGATGGGGCAAGCAGTTGTGAAACCTGTCTGGTAAGTGCCATGTACTCTGAGGACAGCACAAACCAGAGGGTATTGCTTCATAATTTTGGTGTTTGTCGGCACAGCACAGCCATGGTTGCCTGTTTGTGCTGAGCTGGGCACTGCTGTGTTTCTCTGCATGTACCGGTGGTTTTACCCTTCATTTGTGTCTATTTTGGAGAGTACAATAAAGTCTTTATATTTGTAAAGAAGCTGCTGCTTTCTCCCTGGCCGCTCCAAAATTTAAGTGTGAGCAAATGCGCACGTCCTGTCCATGCAACTGGAGGTTCAGTCTTGCAACCTCTTCCCATGTGGAAATCACGTGGACCTCACTGGGACCAGGTGGCCAGCAGCCTGGGGACTGGCCACTTCTGCCGAGACCTAGGCACAAGCATTTCAGGCCACCACAGCTCTGGGCTGTGGTGTGTCCTCTTCTGCAGTGGCATTTCAAAACTTGCTTTGGAAATACAGGATGTGTGTTTTGTAATGAACAACCTTTTACCTGTTTCACATCGGTGTTTATGACTGTGCTTTCAGCCTCTGCCATCTTTGACTTTCAGCCTCAAAGAGAAAATACACAATTAAACTGATATATTAAAATGCAGCCAATCTAGAGAGGGGGAAGTGTGGAAAGGAAAGGGGACATCCTACCTACCAAGTGGAGCAACCCAAATGAACCTGTTTCTGCTGACAACAGCTCGGCTCTGAGAAAGCCTGATGTAATAGTTCCGATTAAATATGATGAAGTGGCTTTTCAATCACAGATCACTGGTTTGGGGTTCCCCCTGTCCCCCCAAGAGTATTTTTCTTCAGGGGGAACTGCTGAAAGCAGTTGTGAAGCTCTTTCCAGCAAAATAAATCTCTTTACGCACCTTAACTGGGGCTTGAAGATTGATTAGAACTAAGAAGCCAAAATAGGTCAGGTCTTATGGGTAGGCTTCTAGTTTGCATCCTTATGGCCTTTCTTGCTACTTTTTTTTTTTTTTTTGTTTGCATGGTGAATTTGTATCCATAAATAAGCAAGTTCACTGTGTGAGAAGCTCACCTGCAGCTGCAAAAGGCCTGAGTAAGTAGAGATGTGTGGTGAGGGCTTGGGTGCAGGATGGGATCCTGCTGATGGGGCTGGTCTGCCCCTCCACAGCCCTGTGAGCCCGCCAGCCCCTACACTAAAGATCTCAGTGCAGGTTGTGCCAAACCAGGTCTGGCAGATGAAAGTCATGGGGGGTTACATGGTCTGCCTGTGCCTAGCAGCTGAATAAGAAATCACATTTATTTTTGTACACCCAGGTCCTGTGGTTTCTGTAACCCCCACGCTGTATACTTCATTTCTATGCACTAGTCAGTGTTAGAAGTGAACTCTTAGGATTCAGCCTGCGGGATGGGATCTGTTCCTATTCCCACCAAGGGGCATCCCATGGGGATTGTTTCCACCCAGTGGCTCCTACAAGTATGCTGTGGGGTTTCTCTGGAGAGCAGAATCAGCAATGATGTCTCTGCATAGAAAGGCTGGGAATGGCAGAGGGGGTTAAAACCTCATTTACCACTTCATGCCCTGCCTGATTACTGGGCTGGGGGTCTGTGCAAGCATAGACCAAAGCCAGCATGCAGTGTGAAAGGCAAGTCAGGGTCTCCAGAGACACCTTTCTTTTGCCCCGATTTTCTTATTTAATTTATTGTTATCATTCAGTGTTGCCTGGGCTGGTAGGAAATGCACTTGGCTGATGCCAGCCCTGAGAGCCAGAGCCTTGCCATGGGGGTTCAATGCTTGCATGTGTACTCCCTAGCTGCCTGCGGGGTGGAAAGCCCTGCCGGCAGGGCTGCTTCCCCAGCCAGGGAGTGCCTGGAAAGCCAGGAGATGCTGAGCATCCCTCTGCTTCTTCCACCCATAACCCATGCTGGGAAGGGGTCTCCTCCCACAGAGCAGGGCAGAGGGTGGCAAGCACCAGCCCTTGTCTGCCGAGCAGGAAGAAGCTGTCCTCTGACCAAATTTCAGCTAAGCACTGTTCTAAAAGTGACAATGAAATAAGAGGAGACAACGCAGCTGAGCAGCCCTTCCTGGAGGTTGAACACCGCCTCCAATTTCTGCTCTGCCCTCCCCAGTGCTGCAAACCCAGCCTGGCTTCCCCTTTCCGTCTCCCTGCCGCTAATAATGGTGGTGTTGCTTACATACAGATACGCGTATGCACAGATACACACACCTCCGCTGCGAGCAATCCCCCCCCCCGCCCCCCCATGCACGCAATGCCGCGCAGGAGAGCCTCTCAGATGGATGCTTGCTCTGGTCCCCCGCAGCTCACCCTACAGCTGCGTAGCACAGCGCGGCGATGACCCCACCGCGCACCGCCAGCGTTTCTGTGAGAGAGAAAAGCCCAAACTCACCGCGAGCGCTGCCTCTGGTCCCCCGGTCGCAGCCTGTCCGGCGCCAGCATCCAAACTTTGCCCAAGATGCTGCCGCCGTTTATATTTCCCCCTTCCCCCGTGCTGGCAGGAAGCAGGCAGGAGCCAGACTGGGGTGCAGCTCCGCTCCCCGGCGTGCTGGGATTTGTAGGCAGCCCGCTGGGTTGGCATCATGCCCGGGCTAGACTGCATTTCCCAGTTGGCGCCACACAGGCGGCTCACAGCAGCCCGGGCCTGGCCACGGCCACGCTCACGGGGAAGGGTCTCAGCCCTGGTCCCGCTTTTCAGGCCCCCTCAGAGCTTGCGCTCAGTCGCTGCTTGCAGCCCACAAGCGCTGCGGCGATGTCTATTTCTGTAGTGGGGGTATTTATAGAGCGCATCCAGACCTCTCATTTCCCAGCCCTTGAATACATAACGGTTGTGGTTTTGACCAAAAATATAGGGGTACCTGTTCAAGCGTGGCTTGCAGAGTACGCAGATGGATGCAGGGAGCTGAGCCAGGGAGAAGGGCTGGTGTGGAGCGTGGCAGTGTGCGGTGGGGGTCTGGCCACATTTGCAATTTTACTGTCATGTTTCTGGATCTCTTTTCCCTTCCTGGAGGCTGCCTGTTATGCACCGCAGGGATGATTTTTTGGGCTGGGACCTCGCTCCCCCCGACAGGCTGTGCAGCAGCCAGCCCCGCGAGGCTCATGCTGCCGGGGTATTTCAACACCCCCTTTCTGCCCAAGAGTGAGAAAGGGAGGGTGGGAGGTGATCGTGGGGCTGACACAGGGGTGGCTGCCATCCTGCAGCTTTTCTCTTGGCCAGCTGGCGCACGTCCCTGCCCTGCTGCTGGAAGATGGGCCAGAACAGCAGCCTCCCCAGCCTGGCTCCTGCCAAAGGAGACCAAACTCACCTGAATTAAGGCCGAGCAGCTGTCCCCTTGTGTGGCACCAGGTTATCACCGGCATCACCAAATCTCCCAAAGTGCAGGCTGCAACGGGGGTCCTGCACACCTTGGCTTCACTGAGATGCTTGTCTCTAGCAAACAGCCTGTTGAAAAGGCTACTGATACGCTCAGCTTTTAGCATGCCCATGCAAACCCCCTTTCCCTGATTGATTTTATTGGGCATGTTCCCTTTTCCCCATGTCCCCCTTATGCATTTCTCCCGTGCTTCCTCCGGGACTGCCAGTTTAGAGCAAAAAGTTTTTTGGCATCCATGTTTCCCCTCGCAGATGTTTGCTGCAGTATCTCCTGCTCATGGAGATAATGCTTCTCTGAGCAGCAGGAGTGCAGGGCGCTTGCAAGCAGGGCCAGGTTTTAGGTGACCAAGAGGCAGCCCAGGCATCTGTCCCATGGCCAGGTGCCCGGTATGGCAACGCCTTGGTGGCCATGTGAAAATCTGGCAGAACTGGTGAGCCAGGGTGGCCAGGCAGAGCTGGGACATGTCTGATTTCCGGGGCCTCTCCCCGCCATGTCCACGTCAGCCATCGTGCACCGGCAGTATTGCTCCCTGCTTCCAGCACTGCCCCAAATTTGTGCAGTGACAAGGCAGGTTTTGGGCTGACTTTGATGAATTGACAGCAAGGGAAAAAGTGTGCAAGCATAAATTTAATGTGACAGGGATGCTGGTGACATCTCTCCTGGCTATGCGCCTGGTGCTACTCCCAAGTAGTGTCCCCTCACCCCGTCTGTACTCCCTGCCATGCTGGAGTGGAGCATCTCTGTTCATCCCCACTGCCGCATGCGTTTTGCAAGCCCTCACATGGTGCATTAAACTACTGCGTACCCCTGTGAGCCAAAGAGCTGGGCTCCCCGAGCACAGGGCTCCCCAGGGATGGATGCAGCCATGCACCCATCCCCTTGCAAGCATCCGTCTCCTTGCTCTAGGTGCGTGCAGCTGCGTGGTCCAGCCGAGCATCACTGCAGGGGTAACTTGAAGAAGGGAATTTGCCAGGGCACAGAGCTGAGCAGTGATGCCCGCCGGCTTCTCGCAGGTGGGAGGGCAGGTTTTGCTTCCTGGTCCGGCAGGGAGTTCCCTGGTGGCTTTTCGCCTGCGTGAGCACTGCTTGGGTCAGCGGCGAGGTGGGGCCGACGGAGCTGCTGGGGCCACCTTGTTCCTGGGCTGGCAAAGCAGACTTTCCTGTTTTGGCTGTGCTGTGCAGCCACCATCCCTGCTGCAGCCTCGGTTCTGCACCCGGCGGGGTCCCATCTCACCCCGCAGCATCCCCCTGCCACGCGCGGCGGCTGGGCCCGGAGCTCACGCAGCAGGGAAGGGAGAGGAAGGCTGGAAAGGAGACGCATCGGTAAGTCTGGTTTCGGGAGTCTGGTCAGCACAGGGTGGGAGTGAGCAGCAGGGCTCCCCCAGCCCCTTTTCCAGGAGCAGGATTGCTTGATGCTCCCTGCAGAGCCCACCAGGACCACGCTGCCTGTCCCAGACCGCAGCAGGGCTGTCCCCATTGTCCTCAGAACAGCAGCTCAGGTCACCCTGCAGGGCTGGGATGAGCTTTTTTTTTTAAGCCAGGGCCAGTGTGAGATTAATGTGACACAGCCCATGGAGGTCTGGCAGGCAAAAAGTGCTGAGACACTTAATTCTGTGCCGGGTGGGTGCCTGCTTGCCCACACTGTTGTGTCAACCCACCACCACAGCCTGGAGCCACAGCCCAGTGCCTCCTAAATATCACAGGCATGTCACCGGCCACGGATTTCTGCATGCGGGAACAGGAGAAACCGATCATTAAAGCTGCTGGCGGTGAGGCTGCAAGCAGAGTGTGGGTGTCCAACAGCACAGATGTCCCAGATGGCCCTGGGCAAGTCACTTAACTTGTACCTCATTGCTACAATGATGATGTCGCAGGGATGACAGCAATTCCTGCATCCCTCCAGCCCAATGCCTGCCAAACGGCAAAGCCCACTGTTGGAAAAATTAAAGGCTCTTGCGGGGTCCGCAAGCTCAGTGGAGGGAAGCGCAGAGGTGGTCTCTCCCCAGGAGGAACCCCGTGCAAGGAGCCATGGCCCTGTGGGGTGGGCAGAAAGTGGGCAGAGCGCAGGCAGAGCGAGGCAGTGCTGAGCAGTGGGACCAGCTCGGATGCAAAGTGGATGGCTGGGGCAGCTGAAGCAGATGAGCACATACCTGCCAGCCTTGGTCGTGCCAATGGGGCCGGGTGCCACCAGCGCCGTGGTGGCTGCAGACCTACTCACCGTGCAGCCTGGCTCCTGGCACATCTCTCCCGCTGCCGCTTCTCGCCTGAAAGGAGGCAAGGAGGAAGTTTTGGCTACGAGGAAGTGTTCATGGTAGAATAAGAGCCTTGCTATGGGGACAGCAGTAGTGAAAAACCTTTCTACTTTAAGTTTGAAGCCTTCCCTTAAGCTGCATCAGTGTTGCCATGTGCACAGGTCGCGTTGGGCTTACACAAAGTTTCTGAGCCGGCATGACCCCAGTCTGGTGGCACCACTGCCACCTGCAACGCGGGCACCAACCCCGCTGCAAGCCCAGGAGCAAACCCTCCCTCTCCTCAGCCCTGCGAGGAGGGTGGGGGAAAATAGCTGAAAAAAGGTGTTGGCTAGTGGTGGGCTTTGCGCCTGAGGCTGAGCAAACCCTTCAGCTCATGCTGCCTGGCCGGGGAAGAGACAGCACAAAACAGCTCTTGGGTATTTTTCCCCTACAGCCAGGTGATTCCTCTTCTCAAAAACAACGGAAAACTCCTTAATCCATCCCCCAGCTCCCTCCCCTTTCTGAAGGCAGGCTTGAAAGGATATAAAGGAGAAGGCTGTAGGCGAGGGGCTGTCTGGCGCAGAGCCCTCCTTGCCCGCGGCTCCCTCCTGCGCCGTTTCACACCTCATTGCCAAAGTGGCCAAGCCCTAAATGCTTACCCTGCGCTCTATGTTTTAATTGTGTTTGCTCTCATTAGAGCCCTGGGCCACCGGCTGCACACGCGTTACTGGAAAGGATATCCCCACCCTGTTAATTTTGCTTGCGTCCCCGGGTCACTCCAGCTGAGCCATGGCAGTGGCAGCCAGGAAAGGCACGGCGACGGCCTCCCCGCTTGCCAGCAGCCCCGTGGCCATCGCCACCACGGCTCAGCCGGGCTTCCTGGGCGGCTGGCTTAGCCGGATCCCATGTGAGTACAGCAGCGCTGGCCCTGCTCTCTCAGGCAGCATTATCTGGGGGGGGGTGGGGTGGGTCCTGGACTCTAAGGCTGTGTATCCACTTCTCCCTCCCTCCAAATCCCTTTTTCCAGTGGGGTCCATTGTGGTGGGGATGCTGCAGAGGGGTACCGTGCTGCTCGGGGAGCGCAGGGCATCCTTGCTGCCCACTTGGGGAATGCTCTCCAGCTGCAGCCTCCCTGCACGGAGCCTATTCAGGATTATAGGGGCAATTTTGAAAGTACAACTCCTTAATGCTGGAGCACCAGGAAGGGGCTTAAATGCACTCTCCATGTTCTTGCTTGGTTTTAACTCTTCTGTCCATCTCCGTTCCCTGAATGTTGCACCAGTACCCAAATGGGCGCTCATCGCGGTGGCTGTGGCAGCGGCCGTCCTCCTCCTCCTCTTCCTCGTCTGCATCATCAGGTGCTGCTGTTGCAAGAAGAAGCCCAAGAAGAAGGAGAGAGTCAGCTTGCACGCTGTCAGCAGCTCCACCACAGCCAGCCTTGTGCGTCCTGCTTTCCCCTCTCCCCCACCTCCCTCCTCCCTGACAGGTTTGCTGCCGTGCTGCCCGGTCCCAGGGGTGGTGGAAGCATGGCACGGCCAGCGATGTGGCTGAGCACATCCTGAGTGTAGCGCTGCTCTCTGCCGCAGGTCCAGCCTGAGATGGAGGACCTGGAGCGGGGCGTGGAGCAGACTGGGCGAGGAAAGCTGCAGTACTCCCTGGAATACAACTTCCGTGCGCAGGAGGTGGGGATGCTTGCGGCCATGGCATGGCAGGGAAAAGGTTTTTCTCTTGTGTGGTCCCTCTTTGCTGCCCACTGAGGTGCACCATACCTGGTGGCATGGTGGACCTCTTGCATTTCTCCCCCTGATGGCTCTTACACGCACCTCGTGTGGAGGTGTCCTCCCTGCTGCAGTTGCTTGCTTTCCACTAAGCCCCTGGTCATCTGGCCCCATCTTCCTCCACCTGGTGACCTTAAGCATCACTCCTTTTAAGCTGAAAGTTGGCGTGAAGCAGGCAGCTGAGCTGAAGGCAATGGACAGCGGAGGCACATCTGATCCATATGTGATAGTCTACCTAACGTCTGATATGAAGAAAAAGTATGAGACCAAGGTTTACCGCAAGACCCTGAACCCCATCTTCAATGAGAGCTTCACTTTCCTGGTAGGAAATTATAGCTGATGATGTTTTTTTTGACCCATCGAGAGAGTTGCATGGGCACTAGTCCCTGGACAAAAACCTCTCCAGGCAGTGAGATGCCTTTGCAACAGGGATGGAGAAGTGTCAGAGAAAGATCTGGTATTGTATCCACTGCCCTGTCCCGTGGGGCACGGCTGCAACTAAGAGTGAGTCCAGGCTTTCGGGTCCTCCCCTGCAGGTACCCCAGGCAGAGGTGCCGGAATCCACACTGGTGATGCAGATCTATGACTTCAACCGCTTTGCCAAGCATGACATCATTGGTGAGATAAGGCTGCCCCTGGCCAGCGTCAACCTGCAGCATGTCATTGAGCAGTGGAGCAACCTGGCGGCGGCCAGTAAAGTGGAGGTTGGTCCTGGTGGGTGGGAAACTCTGCTGGGAGGGATGTGCTGTTGCTTCACTTGCCACCACCCCAAGAAGCAGGCTCGTAAAGGCAAGCATGAGGGTGGGGGAGACCCAGGAAACCTGGGACCAGTCTGGTGCTCCAGTCCCAAGTGACCCAGCTCCTCTGCCCGGTGCTCATTTCTGGCTCTTCATCAGGAAGAGCAACCGGGCGAGATCTGCTTCTCACTGCGCTATGTTCCCAGCACTGGCAAGCTGATGGTGCTCATCCTGGAAGCCAAGAAGCTGAAGCGGATGGACTCCCATGGGCTCTCAGGTCAGCAAGGGCTGCTCATGCTCAGATCTCCCTACTCCTGCCCATGCCTTAATGATGGCACCAAAGCCTTGAAAGCTCTTGGTGCCAAGACCTGCTTCCTGCTGCCACCATCATACCTAGCTCTTGGCCAGCTCCCAGCCTTCCCTAGCACAGATACTCCAGCTTTGGGCAGAGCTGGAGGTATCTCCCATGAGGAGATGTCATGGCTGGATGGTATGGAGGGCTTGTGGCAGGAGGAAGCAAGGTAAGGTGAGGTCTGGGGTGGCTGGCAAGGGGAAGAGGGTGGACGCTCACCACAAGGAGTGACAAGTGGGATACTGCGCTCTGCTTGGGAATGGCCCAGGGAAGCTGTTTTGTGGCTGAGCTCATCAGTCAAAAATTGCCAGCCATGTCCTCTCTCTCCTCAGATCCTTTTGTCAAGGTGCATCTCATCCTGAACAGGAAGAAATGGAAGAAGAAGAAGACAAGTGTGAAGAAAAACACCTTAAGCCCTTACTTCAACGAGGTGTTTGTTTTTGAGGTGCCTTTCAATCAGATCCAGGTGGGTTTCCCTGCAGCGCCCAGGGCTGAGCAGGTCCCTGCTCTGGCAAGCCCCCTCCCACTGACCATCTTTCTTATGTGTCCCCCTCCAGAATGTGGATGTGGTCATCTCCGTCTGGGATCATGACAAAGTGACCAAGAACGAGCCCATTGGCAAACTCTTCCTGGGCTGCCGGGCCACAGGCAACCAGCTGCGGCACTGGTCTGACATGCTGTCCAACCCACGCCGGCCCCTCGCCCAGTGGCACAGCCTGCAGCCCCCAGATGTGGTTGACAAAGCCCTGGGACTGAAGTCCCACCTCAAGCTGCCCCTGCCCCCCAGATAGTGGGGTTCTCCTCCTTCACCGGGGGGGGCAGGACAGAGGGCTTGCGGACGGGTGAGGGGCTTCCGCTCACCAGCATCTAGACGTGTTGGTCCCAGCTCAGTGTCAGCAAAGAGGGGACCAGGGACTCTTTTTGGCCAAGAGATGATCTGGCTGCTGGTGCAGCTCATGCCCTGTGTAATGCCCGGAGCGGAGCAGCTCAGCACCCCAGGGCAAGGCTGGACGTGGAGGGGACAGCGTGGGCGCAGGAGCTGGCTCATCCCAACCACTTGCGGGCCGGGGGGACAAATACACAGAGCTTCAAGCTCATGCAAAACCACTGAGTCCATTGATATTTTTAAAGCGGAAGGCTAATGTGCGGGCAGCCTGGGGTGGGCAGTTTCTTCGGTTGCGAACAACTCGGCAAAAGGCGAGTTCTTGGGAAGGCTTTTAAACAAGACCAAGATCTTGAAGCAGTCTAAGAGGCTTGAGGGGAGAAAAAGAGGACAGGCTGGTGAGGAAGGTGTGGGAGACACAAGACTAGTTCTTTAGTGCCTCTGCAATAAGCATGCTCTGTGTCCTGGCTAGAGGTTAAATGAGACAGCAAAATCACCCACTGGTTGTCCACATGGCTTCACTCTTAGCACGTTCCCAGCCCGTGCTCACTTGTGAACCCCAAGATGTGACTCAGAGTATGGGACTCACCAGTGACCATTCCCACAGACCATGTGGATGAGGCAGCACAGTGTTGGCTCCATCCACACCGTGTGGTTCTACTGTGCTGGAGCAGCAGGGTTTGCATTCCCGGCACCTGGAGGAGCTGCCTAGCTGGAGGGGCTGAGGCTCTCGCTTTCATGCCATGATCAGATCACACTACCCTGACGAAGGCTGGGTTGCAGCCTTCATGTCACTTCTGAACATGTTTCATGTAATCTGGGAAGTTTTTGTGGCCACATTTCCTGTCCTGCCCTGGGGCCTTGGGTGGGGGCTACATAAGTGAAGAACCCTCCTAGAAGGATAAGGACATCGGAGAAGTGCCCCTGTCCCTGCCCATCCTTGAATACACTGCAGTTTGGGGTGGCCTGGGATCAGTTCCTCTGAGCCATCTGCAGGAGAAAGCTCACTGCATTTGGCTGGAGGAGAGCATCGCCTTTGCTCCGAAATACTTCTGCTACAAAGCAGCCATAGCACACAGAAGATGTCATTGTATTTCGTCCCAAAAGAGAAAAGGAAAGTATATTATTAAATAGCTATTGCCCGGGCTCTGGAGGGGAGAGAGCGTGGTGCATGAATGAAGAGCCATTAATATTGAAAAGCAGTTAATCTGCAATTACCCAGAGCTCCACGGAGTGACCATCCGAGAGTTAAACAAACACGGTGAAGCTGAGGAAGGTTGTGAAAACTCTCGATAGAGATTAATGACCTGAGCTTAACCATAAAAAGCTGCTGCGTCTGCTTCTTGATAAATATTCTCCAGGCTTCACCGTGGCCGGGAGGAGGGAAGAAATGGCAGGGTGGTTTCGAGACGGCTGGAATAAGTGGAGTGTGGCTTCTGCTGGGGAAACAGCATCTGCTGGCAGCCACTAATGAGATGGAGGAGGAAATAAGTCACCTGAGAAAGACTTGTAAAGGGATATTTTACAGCCTCAACCTTCAGTTGGCCTTATATCAGGTTGGAACAGGCTGTGCAGAAAGGAACATCTCTGAGTTGGGTTTGGGGTCCCAAGTCCAACGCCAGGTTGTTTTTTGGTTCTACTGTGTGGTGATTTAGGGCCATGCAGGACCCAGGAGGGTTCTGGAGGTGCTGAGAACAGGCCTTTCTTGTGTGTGTGTGTGCATGTGTGCACGTTTGTTGCTTGTTTGAAGTCACGGCCTTGAGGTTCACTGCACAATTTATGGCACTAGGTATAAACGCACATGCATATTACTCCCAAAATGGACAGAGGTGAAGAAAGTGCAGGGACATCCCCTCCTTGAGAAAGGTTACCCCCAATACCGGTGCCCACCGCTCCTCTCTCCAGCATTGGCCTCGTGCAGAGCCCAAATCTCCGGTGCAGTCCCAGGTGAGCAGAGCCGGCGAGGGAAGCCCGTGGCACATTTTAGGGGGAAGCCTGGGACCTTGGGAGCGATCACCCAGCTGGGGCAGCTGCAGGCAGCCTGGGCTGATCCTTGGTGCTGTGAAACTCAGCAAACTGCCTTGTTTGCTCAAGTGGGAGAGGTGAGTGGGTGGGGGATGATCTCCACCCAGCTCCAGTTTTTAATGCACTATCAAGGCTGCTTTCTTCCTCCATCGTTACTTTTCCTTCTCAATCTGCCTTGTGCTCCTGCAACAAGGCTTTGAGTGCTCTTCTCCTCTGGCAGGATCCTTTTTTGTATCTGCTGGCAGCTATTTGAAGCCAGGCTGGTGGAGTTGAGCTTTGTTTCATGGCTTATTTCACCCAAAGTGAACGCAGCCCTCTAGGGAGCCTGTTCCTGGGAAAGAGGACGGCCTCATCTCGCGTGCAAGCATCTCCTTTTCACCTTGGCCTTGTCAAGGCCAGTTGTCCCCTATCTGCCAAGGCCAGATGTCTTAGCATCTCCTGCCCAACTGATGCTCCTCATGTACTTGGGGGGCCTGAAGCAGGCAGATTCCCCGGTGGAAGATGCAAGAAGAAAAGTTAAAGGAGGGGGACATGAACTCCTCCTCAGTGTGTGTCTGTGCTGGATTCCTCTGTCTGCATCTAGAGGGCAGGGCAGGTACATGCTCCAGTCTGGGTCTCTCTCATCTGGTCTGTGGCCCTTGTAGAGCCTCACCAGCCAAGATCCCTTCTTCTGGAGATGAAGCACGTGTGCGAGAGGGCAAGAAAGCCATGATGCTCTGGTGCAAGCCTGTTCCCATTGCCGCAATGCCAGTTGCTACCTGGGTGGTGATGTTGCAGGTGTTCATGCAGCTTTTTCCAGGAGGCAGGAGCCATCCTGATCCTGCACCACAGGGGCAAAGAGGTTTTTGCTGGTGGGTTAAGGGGGCCAAAAGCAGGTATCCAAAGCCAGTCTGCATGGTGCAAGGTGTCTGGGTGGCGGCTGGGGAGTTTGTTCCTCTGCTTCATGCAAGGAACAGTCCCTCTGCATCTAATTAGCAGCTTTGCAGGATGGTGGCAGGATTGGGCCAGGCAGGAGTCTGTTAAAGGAGGCAAGAAGGACTGAAAATCAAGTTGTTTGCTATTAAGATTTATAATCTCAGTTATTTACATCCAGATCCAGGGCTTCTGACCTCCAGAAGTCCCTCCCAAAGTGAATTATTCCCTCATTCAGTGATTGTTATGACATTTGTTCCCACACTTCAGGAAATCAAACAGGAGAACTGCACCAGGAGAAGGCTGAGCCTTATATGTACTTGTTGCCAGTCATCTGCCATGAGATAAAAATGATTATGGGCTGTCATCATTCAGCCTGGGTATGTGCTGGCTGTCCTCCAGACACAGATTTTTTGGCTAGTCTCACAGTTTTTGAGAGCTGGAGAGTATCTAAGCCTTTCTCACATTGAGCAAGTGTGCCCGTTTTATAAATATTCGCTAACTCGCATCATTAATACCTCACAGTTTTAGGGGAAAACGTGTACTTTGCCGTGCAATCTTTTTTTT